CAATTCACCTCAGATGTTTTGCAAATTCGTCTCACTGTGCTTTCCCGCTTTCACTTCTCCCACACTTTTTCCTGGACTGAGACAGTAAGAACGCTTGCTTCTCTGGTGGGCAATGAGGGAGCTGCAGGGGAGGACGTGTTTCCCTCCGTTCTTCCTAAGGCCTTTGACTTCTCTGCAGAGGAGAAAATCTATGCCTGGTCAGTGCAACGTGCTTGGACAGTAGATGGCTGATGAAAGGATTTGTAGTTTTTTTTTACAATGGACGGCCGAGAGGATTGGACCTCTTCCAGGTCAGTCGACGGTTGAGATGAGGTGAGAGAATATGTATATTGTTTATTTGACGGCAGAGATTGGAGGATGTACGCCTGGACAGTGGATGGTTGTGATGAGAGGGACTTGGCTAGGACGAGCGGATATCAGCCTGGTCAGTGGCGAGATAGAGATGAAAATGAGCAGAGTATGCACCTGTCAGGCGCAGGATTCGACTTGCTTGGTGAGAATCAGGGAGAGACACTAAGATTCCCCCCTTGTATCTCCTGCTGACTGTACCTGGTTGATGCTGGCAGGTGGGAGGGCAGTGGGTACTTCAAGCCAGACGAGTCCGCTCTGCAATCAGGCGCAGCTGCTGGTGCTGGTGACAGCAGTGATAAGGCTGACATTAGCACTCCGTTTGTCATCTCCATGCCCCCTCCCAACGTGACTGGCGCCCTGCATATGGGCCATGCCATGTTCGTCACTCTCGAGGTGGGTAATGGGGTAGATTTTCAGCATGTAACAGCAGTGTGACTTTACAGCATGGCGGCAGGGGCAGTTCGCCACTCTCGAGGTACGTATGACTCACTTAAAGAACAAGCAGTCCTACGCACAGCATGCTATCCCAATCCAGCGCAGCATATCCAGTACCAGCAATACATCAACACATGTATGTTACTGCCAAGCGGATCCTCTGTGTTCTACCCACCACCATCAGAACATCAATGGCTTGGTTCTGGCTCATCTTGAGGCGTCTCAAACCCTTCTTGCTCTGCGTTCCCCTGTCCACTTTCTCCCCTCCACTCTTGTGTGCGGCCACGGGGACATCATGGCTTGGTTCTGGCGCATGAAGGGGTGTCACAAACTTTTCCTGATCCGCATTCCCCCGCTCCTCCTTCTCCCAATCACCCTTGTGTGCGGCACCAGGACATTATGGCTCGGTTCTGGCGCATGAAGGGGCGTCCCACCCTCTGGCTGCCAGGCACGGACCATGCAGGCATCGCCACTCAGGTGTGTTGCAAACTCAAGCGAGTGATTTCAATATTGTCAGAAGCAACCTCACTTGCGGAGCATGTGGGGGATTGTCGTTTAGGTGTGTTGGGCGTCCAGGCAAGTAAGTCGGGATAAGGTTGAACCTCCAGCGGTTGGCATGGCAGCAACAGGTTCCCTGTTCATCTCACGTAACATTGTGCAATCATATCATACTCCCTCACTCTGTGTGTCCCTCCTTTCGCCCTTCCGTAGTTTGTGGTGGAGAAGATGCTGGCATATGAGGAATTTGAATAGAGAAACTCGTGAATCTGTAACCACCATTATGAATGCACATCCCCTTTCTCTGTGTGGTGCACATTCTCCCCTCCCTTTCTCCGTGTGTCCCCTCCCTTCGGCCCTTCGCCCCTCACAGCTGGTGGTGGAAAAGATGCTGGCCTCTGAGGGGCTTTTGAAGGAAGAACGGGCTCTTGAGCCACCCAGAAATTACCTGTGTAATCCTCTGTGCGCCCCTCCCTTTGCCCCCTCCCAGCTGGTGGTGGAGAAGATGCTGGCATCTGAGGGGATCAGCCGAAAGGAGCTGGGCCGAGAAGAATTTGTGAAGCGCGTGTGGGAGTGGAAGGAGAAGTGAGTGTGGGAGTGGAAGGAGAAGTGAGTGTGGGAGTGGAAGGAGAACTGAGTGTGGGAGTGGAAGGAGAAGCGAGTGTTGGAGTGGAAGGAGAAGCGAGTGTTGGAGTGGAAGGAGAAGTGAGTGTGGGAGTGGAAGGAGAAGTGAGTGTGGGAGCGTAAGGAGAAGTGAGTGTGGGAGCGTAAGGAGAAGTGAGTGTGGGAGCGTAAGGAGAAGTGAGTGTGGGTGGAAGGATACAATGTGCACTGGAAACTGTTTCATTTGTTTGTCTTGGTTGATGTGCACATTCTAGCTCATATTACTAGTACCCACTATACTGTATCTGTGTACTTATGTGTTTCGGAATGGTGTGGCATTGACAGATATGGTGGCACAATTGCGAAGCAGATCCGCAGGCTCGGCGCCTCCTGTGATTGGTCGAGAGAGAGGTTCACCCTGGATGATCAACTCAGCAGTGAGTCGTCCCATTCCAGCCCCCAACTTCCACCACCATTCCCACTGCACACCATCCCCAAGCCAAGCCCCCCACCACACACACCCCACCATTCCCACCATCCCCACTGTCACTACCAAAAGATTACCCCTCCATGCCCATCCCCATGCAGTCTCTCTCTTCTTACCGGCCGCTCGGTCCGTCAGAGATGGCCCATTGCTCGTCATTATGTCCTCCTTTTCACTCAAGCTTGGCCATGCTACATTCCCATCTCACGTCTTCTCTTTTCCTTCCTTCCGATCCGATTATCCCCTTTGCCACGCTCGCACAGTTTGTACCTCTCGGTTTTCCATCCCCTACCTTCCCACCTCCTGCCAGAGGCTGTGGTGGAGGCGTTTGTCCGCCTGCACAACAAGGGGCTCATCTACCGCGGTTGGTCTCGCACCCCTAAATCGCCCCCACACCCCCGCCGCTGAGTCGCCTTTGTCTTTGGGAACATGCTAATGCCTTTCCGAGTGTTTTTCTTCCAGGCAGTGTGAACGAACGAACTGTCCACAACACAAGGTTCACCTCTTTTTCATCCACCACAGCCTCCCTCCTTCCCTCGTCAAATCAAACCCCCCAAACCAACTCATCCACTCTACCCAACTCCCATCCACCTCTACTCACGGCCCACCTCTACTCACCCCCCACCAGGCACGTACATGGTCAACTGGTCTCCCTTCCTGCAGACCGCTGTGTCTGATCTGGTGAGCCTGGGACTAGCATTGAGATATCAAGTCCATTTGAGGCGTCTCGAAAATGTGTCTGGTCCGGTGACCCTAGGAGGGAGGACTAGTGGTGAGACGTCTCAATTCAAAAGTCACAGCCCACCAGGCACGTACATGGTCAGTTAGTAACCCTTCCTTTTCGGACCTTCCCAGTGCGTTTCCTTGTTATGGTATGGGCACTCGTCATCTTCATAATCTCTTTCAATATCTTCGTCCCAGTCCTTCAACTCCCCCTCTCCTCCTCCTTTCCTCTCCCACTTCTCCTCTCCCCCCTGCTGGCCCTGGCCCCTCCTTCCCTCTCCCCCGTTCCCTCTCCCACACACATTCCTTCTCCATTTTGCGAATCAGGAGGTGGAGTATTCAGAGGAGCCAGGCACGCTCTACTTCTTCAAATACCCCATCGCTGGAGGAACAGAGTAGGTTGCCAGGCTGAGTCAAATCAAAATGTCATCTGGCAAGTAGAATGAAGTGGGGAATGCTGAGGAGCCGGAAAGCTCTACTCCACTACCTCAAGTACCCAATTGCTGGAGACACGGATTCACCAGTGCGGGCATTGCACGTGGACGATGCACCATCTCTGCCACCTCTCAGCTTCTCCTCCTCCCCCACTCTTCATACCTACCCGCCCCCAGCACCTTCCTCACCTCGCCCCTCTTCCACGCCCCCTCCCCTTCCCGCCAGAACCCCCCAAACCTCGTTTCCCCTTCCTCCCATACAATCTCAGGGTCGATTATCTCCCTGTAGCCACGACGCACCCAGAGAGAGGCTCACACCTCCCCCTTTCTGGGCCTACTTCCCCCTCCTCTCCCCCTCCCCCAAGGGACGACTATCTGCCGGTGGCCACAACAAGGCCAGAGACCATTCTGGGCGACACAGAAGTGGTTGTGCACCCAGAGGACGAGCACTGTATGTAGGCTGGCAGGCTCACACCCCCTCTCCCTTCCCTCCCTCTTCCCTTCCCTCTCTCTCCCTGTATCTCCCTTCATCTCCCCCACTCTTCAGAGACGACTATCTACCAGTAGCCACCACGCGGCCAGAGACCATTCTGGGCGACACAGAAGTGGTTGTGCACCCAGAGGACGAGCGCTGTATGTAGGCTGGCAGGCTCACACCCCCTCTCCCTTCCCTCCCCTCTTCGCTTCCCTCTCTCTCCCTGTATCTCCCCTCCTCTCCCTCACTTTCCAGAGACGACTATCTGCCGGTGGCAACGACGAGGCCGGAGACCATTCTGGGAGACACAGCAGTGGCCATGCACCCAGAGGACGAGCGCTTCAAGCAGTACGTGGGGCGGCAGGCTCACCCCCCCCTGCCCCCTCTTTCTCTCTGTCTCCTTGTTTCTCCCCTCCTGCCCCTCCCCAGGGGCGACTATCTGCCAGTGGCCACCACGCGCCCAGAGACCATTCTGGGCGACACAGCAGTGGCGGTGCACCCAGAGACGGAGTACTGCTGTCTGTGGGATGTTAGGCTCATACCACCTCCCCTCCCCTTCCCGTCTCCTCCCCAGGGATGACTATCTGCCTGTAGCGACAACACGCCCAGAGACCATTCTGGGAGACACGGCAGTGGCCATGCACCCAGAGGACGAGCGCTTCAAGCAGTACGTGGGGCGCCAGGCTCACACCCCTCCCCACCCTCCCTCTTCCTCTCTGTCTTCCTGTGTCTCCCCTCCTGCCCCTCCCCTCCTGCCCCTCCCCAGGGATGACTATCTGCCAGTGGCAACGACACGCCCAGAGACCATTCTGGGAGACACAGCAGTGGCCGTGCATCCAGAGGACGAGCGCTTCAAGCAGTACGTGGGGCGCCAGGCCGTGGTGCCCATGTGCGGAGGCAGGACAATTCCGATCATTGCCGATGATGTGAGTGGGTTTATGTGACGACGGTATGAGTGACTCGCTGTGACGATTCTGAGGTGCTTCAAGCAGTACGTGGGGCGCCAGGCCGTGGTGCCCTTGTGTGGCGGCAGGACGATTCCAATCATTGCCGATGATGTGAGTGGGTTTATGTACTTTTAGGGCCTTAAAAGTAGTATGTGGGGCGGCAGGCTGTGGGGCCTTGTGCAGGGGCAGGACGATTGCAGTCCTTTGCCGTTGACATGTTTTTGAGTTGAGTCTGCTTTTGAGTCGACTCAAAAGCAGAGGCAGGACGATTCCATTCCTTAGCCGTAAACATGAGTGACTTGCTCTTCGGGCTGATGGGAGAGTATTGTAGTTTTTCTAGAGATTTCTGTATGCCCATGGTCTCGGTGCAAGCTCAATTTCTACCCCTTGCCTCCCCGCCCTCGCCCCCACTGCCCCACCAGTAGGTGGACATGGAGTTTGGCACGGGGTGCCTCAAGATCACTCCTGGCCATGATGATAATACCATGAGGCAGTTTCCATCCCATCCTCAATTTCTCGTCACCCAATACTCGTCATTCCCGATCTCATCCTCCCTTGGTGCCTCGCCTGCCCCCCACTGCCCCACCAGTACGTGGACATGGAGTTTGGCACGGGGTGCCTCACAATCATACCCGCCCACGCCATCAACGATAATACCATGACTCCACTCCACACTCATCCGACCATTTCCCCATACCATTCCCCTATTCCTCCATACCTTATCTCCCCGTCCCTTGCCCCTACTGCCCCCAGTACGTGGACATGGAATTCGGCACGGGGTGTCTCAAGATCACCCCTGGCCATGACATCAATGACTATGCCATCGGGCAGCGCCGGGACCTGCCTATTATTAATATTCTCAATAAGGACGCCACACTCAACGAGAACGCAGGGGCGTTCTGGTGAGTGAAGGAAAGCAACTCGAGTGTTTGTGTGTGTGTGCGGGCATATGCTATCAGGCAGCGCCGGGACCTGCCCATTATCAACATCCTCAACAAGGACGCCACACTCAACGAGAACGCAGGGGCGTTCTGGTGAGGATTCTGCGAATTGGAAAAGCGATTCGAGTGTGTGTGCATGGGTATGCCGTACGGTAGGGAAGGGGGGTCAGGAGCTCCCCATTATAAACACTCTCAACGGAAACTCAGGGTCGTTCAGGTAAGGTTCAAATGGAAGGGCAACACGAGCGTGCATGCGTATGCCATGCAAACCTTGAAACGCATGTTTACTATTCTCATTGAGTGAGTACACTTGATGCCCACTTCCATTCACTTTCATCCGCTCCTGCTTTCCCCGTCCCCTCCCTAGCAATGCGCTCTTCCTCTCCTCCACTCTTCCCCCTCCCTTCCTCTGCACAGTGGTTTGGATCGGTTTGAGGCTCGGAAGCAGGTGTGGGAGCAACTGGAGAAGGAAGGCCTGGCGATCAAACAACAGCCACACGTGCAGCGGGTGCCACGCTCCCAAAGAGGAGGCGAGGTATGCTTGTAACGATGACAGATGTAAGCTGGTGATCGCGCAATAAAAGAGGGGCATTCGTGGTGCGGTCGACCAATGACGTCATTAGTTTTCCCTTGATTGAATAATCGTTTGTCCACTTCCACTGTTTGCATGAGGTGGTGGAGCCACTAGTGAGGCACCAGTGGTTCGTGCGTAAGCAACAACTGGCAGCACCTCTATCCCCCTATTAGCCCGCATACTCCCACTTCCCTTCCGTTTTCCTTCCACTGCCTGCATATTTTCCACTTCCACTGTTTGCATTCAGGTGGTGGAGCCACTAGTGAGCCGGCAGTGGTTCGTGCGCATGCAGCCACTGGCAGCACCCGCTCTGGAAGCAGCACGGACTGGCGAGCTCACCATTATTCCAGAGCGGTTTGAGAAGGTGAGCAAGGGAAGGAGGACTGGGTGAGCGGTCTGTAAGAGTCCTCGGTGGGGTGGGCAAGCTAGGGTCCACAGTGGTCAGGCCGCCTGCTTCTTAGTTAACTAGTTGTCACCCCTAAGGGTGTGTGAGAAGGTTTGTTCCTTTTGAGTTGGCAGTGGGCAGCGCAAACTTATTGCTATACCAGCGGCATATTCAGGACGTTAGAAACGTTGGTTTTTTATCTTCCCGCCATCTCCACGACGATCTTCCTCTTCGTCCCATACACCACCAAATCTACGAGTTCTGGCTGGACAACATCAGAGACTGGTGCATCATCCTGCATCTCCCCTCTCCTTACTTCTCATCAGCCAGAACCAACCCCATTGCCCCCACTCCTCCCCCCAACCCCTCCCCTATGTATCCATCGCAGATCTACGAGTTCTGGCTGGACAACATCAGGGACTGGTGCATCAGCCAGCATCTCTTCTCTCCTTACCTCTCATCAGCAAGTACCTCCCCCATTGCCCCCATCTGCTCCCATAACCTTCCTCCTCATCCTCCCTATCCCCCGCAGATCTACGAGTTCTGGCTGGACAACATCAGGGACTGGTGCATCAGCCGGCAGCTGTGGTGGGGCCACCGCATCCCCGTCTTCTACCCCTCCTGGGACTCTGCAACGCCCGCTCCTCTAGCTGGGAAGGGCAGTGACGGTGCCGAGGAGGGGGCAGCAGAGTATGTGGTGGCTGGGACCGAGGCTGAGGCTCGGGAGAAGGTTCGGGAGAGATATGGGGACGAGGCGGCAGAGACTGTGCGATTGGAGCAGGATCCTGACGTGCTTGACACGTGGTTCTCGAGGTACGTATGCGGTTTCTGAGAATACGAGTTTGAGACGCATTGTTTTCAAGGCCGCACCCTCCCACCCCTCCTTACCATGGTTCCCACTGCTATCCTTAGACTAGAAGTGCGCACGTGTGAACTCCAAGTCGCAGTGGTTCCAAACTCAGGCCTTATGTGTTCATTGTTATGAGGCAGGCAGCTTCAAACACGCCCACTACCTGTGATACGTTTAGGGTTCAAACACAGTGGTTCCTTTTGTTTGACTGCCTTTTATCGTACCCAATCGCAGTGGCCTGTGGCCGTTCAGCACGTTGGGTTGGCCCAACGAGTCAGCAGAGGACTACCGGCGGTTTTACCCCACCTCGGTCATGGAAACAGGGTAAGTACCCTTTAGAATTCCCTGCAATGTAATCGGTTTCAATTGCTTCCCTTATCTCTGCTTGTCAGCCAGTAGTATCTTCTGGTTGAGAAAAAACTTGTTTCCCACTCCTTTTGTTGCTCCTTGTGTCCTGTATCCTGCCCATGCATGGCATGGCACCTGGCGTGGCATGGCATGGCATGCAGGCACGACATTTTGTTCTTCTGGGTGGCGCGAATGACCATGATGGGGTTGGAGTTCACAGGGAAGCTGCCCTTCCACACCATCTACCTGCACGGACTCGTGCGCGACGCACAGGTGGGTGCGTGTTGATGGGTGCTGCTGTGTTTGACGTTGTATCCTGATGTGGTCGGGGTCTGTAATGGAGTTCACAGGCAAGCTGCCCTTCCACACCATCTACCTGCACGGCCTCGTGCGCGACGCACAGGTGGGTGCGTGTTGATGGGTGCTGCTGTGTTTGACGTTGTATCCTGATGTGGTCGGGGTCTGTAATGGAGTTCACAGGCAAGCTGCCCTTCCACACCATCTACCTGCACGGCCTCGTGCGCGACGCACAGGTGGGTGCGTGTTGATGGGTGCTGCTGTGTTTGACGTTGTATCCTGATGTGGTCGGGGTCTGTAATGGAGTTCACAGGCAAGCTGCCCTTCCACACCATCTACCTGCACGGCCTCGTGCGCGACGCACAGGTGGGTGCGTGTTGATGGGTGCTGCTGTGTTTGACGTTGTATCCTGATGTGGTCGGGGTCTGTAATGGAGTTCACAGGCAAGCTGCCCTTCCACACCATATACCTGCACGGCCTCGTGCGCGACGCACAGGTGGGTGCGTGTTGATGGGTGCTGCTGTGTTTGACGTTGTATCCTGATGTGGTCGGGGTCTGTAATGGAGTTCACAGGCAAGCTGCCCTTCCACACCATATACCTGCACGGCCTCGTGCGCGACGCACAGGTGGGTGTGTGTTGATGGGTGCTGCTGTGTTTGACGTTGTATCCTGATGTGGTCGGGGTCTGTAATGGAGTTCACAGGCAAGCTGCCCTTCCACACCATATACCTGCACGGCCTCGTGCGCGACGCACAGGTGCGTGCGTGCGTGTGTCTGATGCTGTGTATGGTGCATGTTGGTGTATGTACAGTGTGTATGGGGTGGTCACCATGATGGGGTTGGAGTTCACAGAGAAGCTGCTCTTCCACACCATCTACCTGCATGGGCTCGTGCGCGACGCACAGGTGGGTGTGATGGGGTGCTGTGTATGTTATGGTGGTCTGCTGGTATATGCTGGTGTATTCTGGAGTATGATGGTGCTCCATCTGGGCACTGCGCTCGTGTCTTTCCCTTCCCTCTGGCATGTAAACCCTGCAACATCCGCCTGGCCTCTCTTTCTGTTCCTGCCACACATGCAGGGTCGAAAGATGTCCAAGTCACAGGGCAGCGTGGTCTCAACCCTCTTCTCCCGGGCCTTTCCAAAACTCCTTTCCTTTTCCCCCGTATGCCCCTCATCCAGGGGCGCAAGATGTCCAAGTCGTTAGGCAACGTGGTGGACCCATTGGACACAATCAACGACTTTGGCACAGATGCCCTCAGATACACCCTCGCCACTGGCACCACTCCCGGGCAGGTGAGCTCGCTCCTGGGCAGGTTACATGTTTTCTCTTTGCCCCACAAGGTTTGAAAGCTGTCCAAGTCACTGGGCACTGGGCAACGTGGTGGACTCGTCGGATACAATCAATGACTTTGGCACAGATGCCCTCAGATACACCCTCGCCACTGGCACCACTCCCGGCCAGGTGACCTTCTCTCCTTAGCAGGTCAACGTTCTCTTGTGAGCAAAGAACATTACTTTCCAGGTGTGATATTTTTTCCAGGTGAACAGGTTTATGTTAGTTCCAGCCGTGTGTCAGCTCCTTTTGTCTCTCTCACATCTGATCTTGCTGGTTTGCTCTCTTCTCCGCCTCCGCCCTCTCTGATTTCATCCTCGTTACAAGCAGGACGTGAATCTGTCTATGGAGCGTCTGGGCGCCAACAGGGCGTTTGTGAACAAGATATGGAACGCGGGGAAGTTTATTCTGCAGAACCTGCCGAGCAAGGAGGACGAGAAGCAGTGGCAGCGGCTGGGGCAAGTCAAGGTGTGTATGTCGTGCGTTGAAGATGAGTGAGAAGGCAACAAGAATGGGTAGGCGAAAGCGTGGGTAGACCGACAACAGCGTGGATAGACGAGTTTTGATGCGTGTTAAAACTCCTCCCTGCTAATACCCTCTCTGAGACCGACGACACTTTTAGCTTCCATCGACACCTTTTCCCACCCCTTCTCTCCTCTCTGAGAGCAGTCAATCAACCCCCTCTCCCTCCCGGTCTCATTGTCTCTCTTCTTCTCCCCACACATGGCAGTTTGACACTCCCGAGGCGCTTGCTGCCCTCCCATTGGCCGAGAGATGGCTGGTGAGTTCAATGCTGTTGCCCCATGCCGCACAGTGGATGGCTATCAGCTTCACTTCTATTGCTGCTTTCATTCTTCTTTACCTGTTGTCTCCCATGTGCTAGCGACTGATTGAATGTAGTGTACCCTTTAACTCCCCACACTTCCCTTGTCCTCCTGACATTCCTCCAGCTCTCATCTCAAGCCTGCACTCGCTGAAGTTCAACGTGACAGAGTCATACATTTCGTTCCCGTTCCATCCCTATTCCCCCTTTCACATGCTCTCATTGCCCTCCTGCAGCTCTCCCGTCTGCATACTCTGGTGGACGAGGTCACAGAGCCGTACATTGCCTAAGAGTTCAGCGCCCCTTCACTCCCCACCTTCTCGTGCTCTTCTCACCCCCCCTGCAGCTCTCCCGTCTGCATACACTGGTGGACGAGGTCACAGAGGCATACATCGCCTATGAGTTCAATGCCTCTTCATTCCCCACCTCCTCGTGCTCTCCCCCCCTCCTTCCCTCTCCTCCAGCTCTCCCGTCTGCATACACTGGTGGACGAGGTCACAGAGGCATACATCGCCTATGAGTTCAATGCCTCTTCATTCCCCACCTCCTCGTGCTCTCCCCCCCTCCTTCCCTCTCCTCCAGCTCTCCCGTCTGCATACACTGGTGGACGAGGTCACAGAGGCATACATCGCCTATGAGTTCAATGCCTCTTCATTCCCCACCTCCTCGTGCTCTCCCCCCCTCCTTCCCTCTCCTCCAGCTCTCCCGTCTGCATACACTGGTGGACGAGGTCACAGAGGCATACATCGCATACGAGTTCAATGCAGCAGGCCGGCGCATCTACGACTTCTTCTGGAGCGACTTCGCTGACTGGTACGGCTTCCATGTCAAGAGGTGACTTTTGTGTTCACTCACAAGTCACATGGTACGGCTTCCATGTTGGTTCTCAGGCCCCACAAGCCCGCGGCATAGACATTATGAAAGTACAAGGCTAAGCCTTGCAGCTACGTTGGAAAAGCCTCACTCACATGAGTTCCGTCCGTTGGGTTTGGAGATATTCCGTGACTCCGGTTTGAGTTTCTTTCTCAACATCCCTCCTTCATTCCCTACTGCTTCCGTCCTCCACGCCCATCAGGTACATCGAGGCCAGCAAGACCCGCCTCTACAGCGGCTTCCGCTCCTCCTCCTCCAGCAGCAGTGACAGTGGCGGTGGCAGCAGCAGCAGCAGTGAGGGCGAGGAGCAGGGCGCACCAGCAGACGAGGCACATGCACGCACACAGGAGCAGGCACACAAAGGCAGTGCTGGCATACGCCTTCGACTCCTTGCTGTGCCTGCTGCACCCCTTCATTCACCCTTCATTGACTTCTCGTTGATTCCCCCTGTTTCCCTACTCTCCCATCAGGTACATCGAGGCCAGCAAGACCCGCCTCTACAGCGGCTTCCGCTCCTCCAGCAGCAGCAGCAGCGAGGGCAGCAGTGAGAGTGGGAACGAGAGTCAGGAAGCAGAGCCCCAAGGCGCACCAGCAGACGAGGCGCAGCAGCAGGCGCAGGCAGTGCTGGCATACGCGTTTGACTCTGTGCTGCGTCTGCTGCACCCTTTCATGCCATACGCCTCCGAGCAGCTGTGGCAGGCGCTGCCCCACGCCCCCTCCCTGCCCTCCCTCATGCTCGCCCCCTGGCCCGCTGCTGGCTTGCCGAGGGACGCCCAGGCCCAGGAAGAATTCGATGACCTTCAAGCACTGGTGAGCAATAGACGCAGGTACATGCAAGCAGGCCTGCATGCCATTCGCCTCCGAGCAGCTCTGGCAGGCGCTGCCCCACGCCCCCCTCCCTGCCCTCCCTCATGCTCGCCCCCTGGCCCGCTGCTGGCTTGCCGAGGGACGCCCAGGCCCAGGAAGAATTCGATGACCTTCAAGCACTGGTGAGCAATAGACGCAGGTACATGCAAGCAGGCCTGCATGCCATTCGCCTCCGAGCAGCTCTGGCAGGCGCTGCCCCACGCCCCCTCCCTGCCCTCCCTAATGCTCGCCCCCTGGCCCGCTGCTGGCTTGCCGAGGGACGCCCAGGCCCAGGAAGAATTCGATGACCTTCAAGCACTGGTGAGCAATAGACGCAGGTACATGCAAGCAGGCCTGCATGCCATTCGCCTCCGAGCAGCTGTGGCAGGCGCTGCCCCACGCCCCCTCCCTGCCCTCCCTCATGCTCGCCCCCTGGCCCGCTGCTGGCTTGCCGAGGGACGCCCAGGCCCAGGAAGAATTCGATGACCTTCAAGCACTGGTGAGCAATAGACGCAGGTACATGCAAGCAGGCCTGCATGCCATTCGCCTCCGAGCAGCTGTGGCAGGCGCTGCCCCACGCCCCCTCCCTGCCCTCCCTCATGCTCATGTCCTGGCCCGCTGCTGGCCTGCCGAGGGACGCTCAGGCGCAGGAGGAATTCGACGATCTGCAAGCACTGGTGAGCCAACGACGCCAGTACGTGCAAACAACCCCTTGATGCCCCCTTAGCCTTGGAGAGAGCAGCTGTGGCAGGCCCAGGAGGAATCCGATGACCTTCAAGCACTGGTGAGAGAAAGCGAGTAGCTGCTACAGGTGGTTTCTGACAAGTCTAAAATACCACTATCTGCAAGCATTTGCGAGCTCTCACTCATCTGTACATTTGTAGCATTTGTTTGACTCCCCTGTCAGTCAGCTACACACAGGTGCGGTGCGGTGCGGGCCACCCGCAGGACGAGGGCAACTAGCTCTGATCCCATTCCTGCTTTTTACACCCTCCCTTGTTTTTTTTTTTTTCCCCCTTCCCTTCCCCCCTTCCACCCCCCTGCTGCATGCAGGTGCGAGCAATCCGCAATGTAAGGGCGGAATACTCAGTGGAACCGGCTAAGAAGATAGCTGCAGGGCAGTCAGCTTGGATGCACACAGTCACACACCCTCAGATGTTCCACACCTTCCCATCTCCTCTCCTCCCACCCCCAAACCCACCCCAACCCGACCTTCTCTCTGCACATGCAGGTGCGGGCCATTCGCAATGTGCGGGCGGGATATTCAGTGGAACCAGCCAAGAAGATAGCCGCAGGGCAGGCAGCTTCAATGCACACACTCATGCTTCCCTCTCTCCTTCCCACCCTAAACTCCCCCCTCCCCCACACCCTCTCCCCCCGTACAGGCGCGGGCCATTCGCAATGTGAGGGCGGAGTGTTCAGTGGAGCCGGCCAAGAAGATAGCTGCAGGGCAAGCCGAAGTATATATATGCAATCACACCTTCCCATGCCCCACCCTCTCCCTTCTCTGCATGCAGGTGCGGGCCATTCGCAATGTGAGGCCGGAGTATTCAGTGGAACCGGCCAAGAAGATAGCCGCAGGCCAATGCAAGCAGCTCTGATGTGTGCAATCACACGTGCCCATGCATTCCCCCCTCCCTTCGCTGCATGTACGTGCGGGCCATCCGCAATGTGAGGCCGGAGCATTCAGTGGAACCGGCCAAGAAGATCGCTGCAGGGCAGGCAGCTCCGATGCACGTACTCACACACACCCTCTATTGTTCCACTCTTCCCCCCTCGCCTCCCCACCCTGATCCTCCCCACTTCTTGACGCATGCAGGTGCGGGCTATCCGCAATGTGAGGGCGGAGTATTCAGTGGAACCGGCCAAGAAGATCGCTGCCACTGTCATCGCCGCACCCACCCTCTCTCCCGCCATTCAGGTGCGTGCCTTGTTACCCTGTCCTGCTCATATAAAAAAATATTTGCGTATTTGTGGTGTAGCTTTCTACTGCGCATGCATCTTCTTCCTTTAAGTCATATGTATGCCTTCTGTCCACGTTTCCCCCATGCCAAGTGTCCCACCTGCCCTAAACCCGGAACGCTAACCCTATTCCTCTACTCATGCCAAGCAGGGCGAGAGGGACGTGCTAGCGTTGCTTGCTCGGGTCGACCCTGCCTCTCTGCACATCACATCAGCACAACCAGGTGAGCCATCTCGTTACCACTGCCTGTACTGCACAGTAACGGCGAGAGGGTAAGTACCTTTGAGTACCAGGTAAAATGCCGCTGCTTTCCTGTGTGCAATCAAATAGGTTGCACCTTTGAATCTTTCGACCACGCGATTGGTGACTGACTGATAAGCTGGGTTGGAATACACCTTCTGGATGGATTTAAGCATGTAATGAAATCGTTTCTGGTGACATGACACCATTGTATCTCACACCTCCACGTCTCCTTTCAACTAGATGCAGCAGCAGCAGCAGCAGCGAGTGTGCATGTGGTGGCAGCAGAGGGACTGGAGGCATGTCTGCCCATAGCCGACATGGTGGGTGTTCCCCTTCCTTGTCCCCTCGTTCTTCCCTCCCAATTCCAGACGCGGCAGCAGCAGCAGCATGTGTGCATGTGGTGGCAGCAGAGGGACTGGAGGCATGTCTGCCCATAGCCGACATGGTGAACGTTCCCAAGGAGCTGCAGCGCCTGGCAGGTGTCCCCTCACCCCCTCCCTCGTCCCCCTGTTATTCCCTCCTCATCCCAGACGAGGCAGCGGCAGCAGCATGTGTGCATGTGGTGGCAGCAGAGGGACTGGAGGCATACCTGCCAATAGCAGACATGGTGGACGTTCCCAAGGAGCTGCAGCGCCTGGGCAAGCAGCAGACCAAGCTCACAGCCGACGTCAACTCCTGCCGCTCCCGCCTCTCCTCCAAAAAGGTACGTAGCGAAGCAACCCACTGAACTGAAGCACCTGCGAGAAGGTGGCTAGCAGCAGCGCCTGTTCACAAATGTGCGTCTTAAACAAGCTGCAGCGCCTGGGCAAGCAGCACACCAAGCTCACCACTGATCTCACCTCCTCCTGCTCCCGCCGCTCCTCCAAGAAGGTGCGTCGCAAGCCACTGGGACGTGTGTAAGAAGGTGGTTAGCAGAGCCTGTTCAAACATGCGTGTCTTGAACGAGCTGCAGCGCCTGGGCAAGCAGCACACCATTGCTGACCTCAACTCCTGCCGCTCCCGCCTTTTCTTCCTTTATCCCTTGCTCGTCTCCTCAGTTTGTGGACAAGGCACCAGCATCGGTGGTGGATGGGGTGAGGAAGCAAGCAGAGGAGGCGGAGGAGAAACTAGCTCTTGTTAACAGACGCTTGGAGCAGCTGCAGGGCATGGCTGCCACTGCCACCACTGCATAACTCTCGAGGCGACTCAACATGCAGGCAGAGCAGGCGAAGGAGGCAGAGGAGAAACTGGCTTTGGTTAATAGATGCATGGAGCAGCTGCAAGGCATGGCTGCTACCACTTCCACCACTGCATAACCTACGATTCATCTCCAGTAGCAGGTAGAGGAGCAGAAGAGGCAGAGGAGGTATAGGGGGCTGAGGAGGTAGAGGAGCTAGTAGCTCTGGTTAGCAGATGCATGGAGCAGCTGCAAGCCATGGCTGGCTAGCTACCATTGCTTTTGGGATGATCACAAGTCACATTGGCTACCATTACTGCCACTGCCACCACCATTTGACCTGCCCGTCCAGACCAAATGCCCGGAATGAGTTTTGAGACATCTCATATTCTCAATGCCCGGAACCTCTCACTCTCACATCTGACTGGCTGGTGGTGATGCATCTGACTCTCATGTTCTTCTGAGCTCCTGGAAAGAAATCAACCAAGTGATTAATTTGCAGCAGCATGCAGACTCATTGCAGCATACCTATGACAGCTTTCAGCTGTATCCGTCCTTCTTCAGCTCTGTTTTGGCAGCTGGGTAAGCTTGAAGTGAATGTACAATAGGCAGCTATTTTGGAAAGACTTGGCAACAAATGTTTACGGTATTCTTTCTAACCCACTGGTGGCACTGCAGGCAGGCACGTGACGAGCAGCTTTGTTTCTGCAGGGTCTGTGCAAGGAGAGATCAGTCATCTCAAACTCTAGTCTGAGAAACAAAGTTCCTGTGAGGCCTATGTGAGCGGTAGAATGTGCCTCAGAATCAGCCTCAATCCAGAAGCCAGCACACCTCTGATTCCACCACACAACCACTTTTGAGAACCCCTAGAAGTGTTCCAACACCCAGTGACCACCACACCACACGAAGCCATCGCCACCTGATGGCTCTCTGCTTCTCCATCTGACTGAATCTGGCATCAACTCTTCTATTCAACAACACCGTGGCAGCCACATGAGAATTCAGCACATTGAACCCCTGTTCCCAGCACGCCTCTATCAGCTTTGCTCTCTGCTGCTCCCCTTAGGACAGATTGATCCCACGGTTCTAGTACCAACTACTCAATCCTACTGCACAGCAGCAGCCACCTGAGCATCCAAGACACAGAACCCCTTCTCCCTGCACGCCTCCACGAGCCTTGCTCTCTGCTGCTCCCCCTCAGGGCAAAACACCACCACAGCTGGTACTAATATCAACCCCTCAATCCAACTCCACAGCAGCAGCTACCTGAGCGTTCACCACACAGAACCCCTTCTCTCTGCACGCCTCCACGAGCCTTGCTCTCTGCTGCTCCCCCTCAGGGCAAAACGCCACCACAGCACCACCGCTGCCTGTGAACTTGGCTGCTGCCCCCACTGCCCGTGCTGCCTGCACCATGCTCAGATTCACTTCCCCCAACACCTCGTCTCCAAACATCTGCCTGGTAGGTGTGCAGAAGAAGGGTGGAGGAATAAACGGAGGGATTGCGAAATGTCTCAGCACTGCCATTGCCTACGATAGCAACTGCCCCCACAGCCCGTGCTGCCTGCACCATGCTCATAATCACTACTCCCAGCACCTCGTCTCCAAACATCTGCCTGGTAGGTGTAGAGAAGTGGAAACGTGGAGAGAGGGATGGAAGAGCATGAGGGTGTGTGGTCCGGAGGCAGGGGGTGGGAAGGGGGGGACAAGTGAGAGGCAGAATGTCAATTCCACTTCTTCTAAGTTTCGGTCCATCAGCCTAGCAAGCTTCCCCGAATACGAAGGTCGAACCAGCAACCAGCCACTTAAAGTGCACCTGCCTCTCAGATCACACCTGGGTGATTCTCACCTGCGCAGGTCAAAGTTCCGGTCCATCAGCCGAGCGAGCTTCCCCCAATCCCGTGCCACCAGTGCATCCCGCCCCTCCTCTGCCAGCGCTGCCACGTCAGCCATGGCCTGGCGCACCGCCACGTCACCGGCCTGCCACCTGGCGCGCACGGAGCTGTGCACGTGGCCTGAGTCGCTGGGATTGGCTGCGAAGATGACCTGCAGAGGAGGTAAGAGGGCTGGGTCCATGGGCTGGTACATGCCGTACCCGTGTGCTTCTAGGTGTGGTCTGTTGAAGTCCTGAGGAGGAGGAGAAGGAGACGGCAGCAAGAGAAGGCAGCGAGTGAGAGGGGAAAGTGGGATCGTACTCATGGCTGGCAAGAGGGCCGGGTCCAAGCGCTGGTTGGCGGCGTACCCATGTGCTTCTAGGTGTGTACGTTGAAAATCCGAGGGGTGTGGGGGGCGGAACGAGGAAAGTGTGAGGGAAAGGAAGAGGGCATATAGCCTGAGATATATCTCAGCCCTATTCCCTCCCTGAAATAATTGAGGCTGAGACCACGCGGGTCAAGGACCGAGAGCTGGTTTACCTACAGCACAAATAACGCTTGATTCAACTCTCTTTTTTGGAAGGCGGTACTAACCATGAACACCAGTCCACCGTAGGTTTGGATGACCCGATCCTGCAGGCCCGCGGCAATGCCGAGCCTGCTCTCGGCCTCGAGGATGAGGTTCGGGCGCACAGGTATGGGAATGGCGTGGTGAAGGTGGTAATGATGAAGGAGGCAGCTTAGAGCGGCAGCAATGATTGCACTGGATCCTGACAGGCCCACCTGATTGGTTGGTGGCAGTGGGAGAGGGAGTTAAAAGAGAGAGCATGGGATAAGATAATGCGCGGAGGGGAGAGATGGTTCAAGGAGACAGCAGATGTGGTGCGGATGGTGGTGGCAGTGGTGACGGTGATGGTGGTGGTGCAAATGTTTATGCAGACATCAAGTGGCAATGGATGAAGACTACGTGGCGAGGTATGTTGGTAACCCTACATGGCGAGGTATGCTGGTGGTAACCCTACCTGGCGAGGAATGTTGGTGGAGTAGGAGAGGGTGAACGCGGCGTGTTGTGGCAAGTCAACGCCGTGAAGCTGGCAGTAGTCGTGTACGCACGCGCACAGCGACACTAGAAGACAAACGCCGCCATCCGCGCGCTCAAGCCGCTGCTTCTTGGATCGTTCTGCCTGTGCCGCCCCTAGAGTCAAGGCGCACGAGGGGGACGACAATACGTGACGGGGCGTGTCAGTAAAAGCTAGTAATAAGGGATTACAGCATATGCGACGCTCGCATGGATTGCGACAATCGCGAAGATTGCGACGACCGCGATAATTGCGGCGATCGCGACCATAACAAAGGGGGATGCACCCAGTCGTTTGACTTCGGTGCTCCGTCTTGTAACGAGCGACGGTGAACGAAAGGATGGAACGTTACAAAGCGACGCGCGCACCAGATCGCTATGCGACGAGAATTCGACGACGTCGTCGCCCGCACACGGCTTGATTCGTATAGTTCGCGAAGGCTGTAACGTGACTTCAGCGAAGAAGTCCGCGAGGGAGAAGGAAAGAGTCTTCCCGTTGTAGCCGTCGCTGGGATTCCCCAACAGCCCCACGCGCGCGAACGCCCGTCGTGTGATGCTGCGCGCCGAGTCAGAATCTGCTGCCGTGGAGATCGAAACTGAGCAATTCTTACTCTGGTCATCGCGTCCTTCCATCTTAGCGATTGCGAGAATTGATAAGAGCGGAAGAGATAAGTGTGACGGAAACTAATAGAGTATAGACGTAGAGTCGTGTGTTGTAAGGGCTCTCGTGGAAAGTGACGGAATTATTGTGGCTAGTAACGATGTTCGACGAGGAATGGCTGGAGAGAAAATCGGTTCCTTGTTTGGAAGGGATGGTGCTGCTGGGCACGGGAAAATCTGGAGCTTGGGTGCTCACCACAACTGCTCAGATCAAACCGAGTGTCAAAGGCAGTCGTTTACATGTCCACGTGTACAGCTCGGGCCCACAGCCTAGAAGTTGGGTGTTCATTCTTGTGAAATAAAAGCGAAATGTTGAGATGAGACTGGTATACTTACCTGGGCGGGGTCAATCGGTGATCAAGAAGGCCGATGGCCTAGGGGCGGGCCCGCCATTGCACTCCGGCCGGCCCTGTCCCTAGCACGCCGGAACTCCCGGTGATGCACGTCATAATTTGTGGCAGAGGGGGCTCGCGTTCGCGCGGCCCCTACCAAATTGAAACCTGAAGAGGGATTGTACGATGCAAACAAGGAAACTGAAATCGAATGTAAGCCGTGATTCGGCCCTGTGGGTAGTCGAGTCTCAAAGAACCTGCTCAGCATGTACAGTTGAAGCACTTGAAAATGTAGGAAAAAAAATGTAAGATGGTCTAAAATTGAACGTGGTAAAAAAATGAACAGGTCTAAAAATGGACGTACAATCGCTGTAGGGAGAACGGGTGTAGTGAATCGAATCTCACAGGATTTCAACACTAGCCGATCATCAACGAATCACTCTTTATCGACACCTGTGTTTCGCGCGCAAAGTGTCACAGGCTGCGAATGTCTGTCAGAAACAAGACCGTCCCCCGCTTGACGAACCATGCTCCAACCACGAGTCGTGCAGGGGCTGTCAATTACGCGAAACGAACTGTTACACAAAATCCCCTCGTCACACCCACTTTCGCCTCAGATTTTCATGACCACGACGTCTTCGTCAGCGTCGCCACGCCTCGCCAACATGCGTTGTCGGGGGTGCCCAACCTGCTTTTCCTGGTCGTGCTTTTCCAATTTTCTAGGGTTCCTCGGAGGAAGGCTTGGTGGGAGTTGCAGGTATTTTCAAGGCTGTACTGTACCAGCAGCAGTTCTTTATAGCTCCCGCCGACAGCCTTGATTTTACACGCAACAGGATCCGTAGGTGCTTCGGGTGTGCTCGATTAGGGTACCGTTCACATCCTGCTGCTGTTACTCTCGCGAATATAACGTATCCAGGTCACAGGTCACAGGTCACTTCCGTGCGAGCTCTTTTCTCCGCGACAAACAATTGTTTCCCTTCTTAGTTCCAAGGTTAACCCATGACGCTCGCTTCAGTGTTCGTTTCGGTAATGACTCGTTCCAATTCGTTTCTTCGCGAACCGCTTAGGCAGCAGCTGACTTGCTTCTTCCCGACTTAGCATCACCGGACGGCTGTAGAATCGTACGCCGTAGTATCTGAACTTCCCGATTGACGGTTCAGTTATGGAAATTCTTCCGCCGTCAACTACCCGTCAGCCGGCTATTCCGGGCCGGCCGGAACAATCGGAGGAGTACGCATGGGTTCCAGGTCTAATCGACGCGGCGACGATCGAGAAGCTTGAACGCGTGGGGATGGCATGGGGCCCGCTGACCGGCCTCCCCTGGGGAGCTCCCATCCCTTTGCTTCTCCTCACAGCCTTCTGCACCACTCTGCACCGATACAACCCCAGGCGGAGGGATTTTCCCGTGGGAGTGTCCTTCGGGTGGTACATTCTGCAGGCGGAAGACGCGGACGATGAGCCGCCGCCAGCGGAAGCGCAGAAGGGCGGGGGAGGGGGAGGGGGAGGCGGGGGGGAGGGGACACCGGGACGGGGGCGCAGGCGGTCACCGCCAGTCGCTTTTCTCCGATAGTGAGTACTCCGATTCCGAGTTCGAGTCGTCGCGCCAGGCCACGCGGCTGTCCGCGATAGGCGGCGGAGGAGGAGGAGCTCCATCGGGAGGAGCGCTAGGAGCGGCGGCGCGCGCGGCGTACCAGTCATCTGCAGGTCCGGGCGGGGGCGTGGGGGGAGGCAAGGGCGGAGCCATCCCGCAGGGAATGCGGCCCGGCGGACTAGCCACGGGTCTTCTCTCCACCATGGTTGGCGCAATGGCAGGGGGCGGGGCAAAACCTGTAGCAGCAGGCGCAGGGGGAGGGGCAGCTTCCGCGAAGCCCGCGGGGGGCGGGCTGCTGCGGCTGTGGCAGGGGGGAAAGCTGTACGACGCGCCGCCGTCGGGGCAAGATCTTAGGGTTAGCTGGCGCGCCAACGGGCTGTTTCACGACACTATATCGGACGCGATGAGCTCTATAACGAGTTTTTCCGCCGTAGGAGAGGAGGACGATGATCAACTACTGGTGGTGAATGTCGAAATGGATAATCTGCCCCCGCGCGCCCCGCAAGCGGACAACCTACTCCCCCCTTCCGCGCTCCCCCCTGCTGCTGCGCCCCCAGGCGCGGTTCCGCGCCAGGGCAGTCTGGGGGCGGCGGGCTTGCCGTCTATGGGGCTAGCAAAACAGGACAGCCTCAGATCGGACCCGGGAACCGTGGCAGGGGCGGGCGCATCCGGGGCGGGCGTTCCTGGGGGAGGTGTATCCGGGGTAGGCGCATCTGGGGCGGGGCGTACTGACAGAGACGTGACTCTACTTGAGATGCTGGCGCACGTGGGATCGCGGCTGTTTGAAGCCGTGGGGAGCGCGGAGGAGGGAGGAGGCGCATCCGGGGTAGGTCACAGCGGTGGGTTAGATAACCCTACGAGGGACCACAGCGGGAGTTTGGCGCGGTCGCTAGGTGGGGGGCCGGGGGAGGGGCGGAGTGTGCGGGCGGGGGGGAGGGGCGTGTCCGGGGATGGCATGTCTGATGTGGATAGGGAGAGCGTGGGGCGGGGGACGGCTAGATCAGCGTCAACAGCACGGAGCAGGGTGGCTGCTGCCAGTGCAGCTGCAGTTGCGAAAGGGTTTCCGGCCTTTTTCAAGTATTTTGCATATGGGATCGACCGGCAGACGATAGAAGAAGAGGGGGAGGATATACCATCGTGCGGGCTTGCCGGGTTGTTTGTCCCCGGGTCGAAAAAGAAAGCGGTGCTGATTCGGTGGCGGTATGATGTGTCTAAGTACGATGAATCTACCGTGGCGCGGCTGAGCGCGAATTTTTGTTTTTTGGTGGAACGGATTGCATCTCTGCCGTCGATTGAGGCGCTGCCGATTTACTACCTGCCCGTGCTGACCGACGCGGAGAGGGAGCAGCTAGAGGACAAGTTTTCCGGGCGGCTGGTGCCGCACGCGTTCTGGCACGAGGAGGAAGAAGGGAGGAAGCTTCTGCTGGACGTTGGGGGGTATAGGGATGGGAGGGGGGTGGGGAGAGGCGGCAGGGATAGGCTTAGGGAGAAGGATCGGCTAAGGAGGAAGAAGAGGCAAGAGGAGGGGAAGGGAGAGGGTGGGGAAGGTGGGGGGGAGAGGGAAGGAGATGGAGTGATTGTGGGAGCGGGTGATAATACTGAAGGGAGAGTAGTAGAGGGAGCAGCAGGAGCATTAACAGCAGGCGCTTTAGCAGCAGGAGCAGTAGGAGAAAGAGAGATTGCAACAGGTGATGCTACTGCTACAGCCATTGCATCCCTCCCTCCCCCTCCTCCCTCCCCTGGCGCAGCCTCATCCGCCGCCCAGTCTCAGGTGGGTTCTAGCGCCAGAGGGGGAGCAGGGGGGACAGCAGGCGGAGCAAGGGCAGGCGGAGGCGGAGGCGCAGGGGGAGGGGGAGGTGCGGGGGGAGCAGGGGCAGCGGGCAGTGTGGTAACATCGGGATTTGACACGGTGACAGATCTGTCGGATGCGGCGCCAGGGAGTGTGGGGAGGGGGGTGAGGAGCAGGGGCAGGGGTCTGAATGTGCGCGATCGAACTTTGGTGGATCTGTTTGAGCGGCAGGTGAAGGTTAACCCGGCTGCCACGGCGCTGCTGCTGCTGCACCGGGGGAGAGGGCGCGGGGGCGCGGGCGGAGGGGGGTCATGGGGAGGTGGAGCGGGAGGAGGGGGAGCGTGGGGGGCTGGAGGAGGAGGGGAAAGAGGAGCGGGAGCGGGAGCAGGAGGAGGAGGAGGAGGAGGTGGGGTGGAAGGGACGAAGGTGGTGGTGAGAGAAGCGGTTTCTTACATGCAGCTGCATGCGCGTGCCCTGCTGATCGCGAGGTTCGTTGCCAAGAAGCTTCCTCGCCCTGCTCTCATTCCGGCGTCGCACCGGGGTAGCAGCCACAGCACCCCTGCCGCCACCCCCAAGGCCGCCTCCTCTGCCGCTGCTGCTGCAGCCGCTGCTGCTGCCAACGGCACGGGTGTTTCTTCTGGTTCCCCAACCGTTTCAGCAGCACCAGTAGCAGGAGGAGGGGCAGGAGCAGGGGCGAATATAGCGGCAGCGGCAGCAGCAGCAGTGGGGGCAAGCCGAGCGAGACCAGAGGTGCAGCTAGTGGGGGTGTGTATGGAGAGAGGGGTGGATTGGGTAGCAGCTATACTCGGGATCATGATGGCTGGGAGGGCGTATGTGCCTCTAGATCCCTCCCTGCCACGTGGCAAGCTGGAGGAGATTGTGGAGGAGTCCGGGATCATGCTCGTGCTCACGTCGCGCCACCTGGCGGACGCGCTGACGTGGATGACGCCCCGCTCGCCACGTGGCGCCGCCGCCACGTCAGCGTCAAGTCCGCGAGCGACCAATCAGGGAGGGCCAGAGGAGGTAGGCCAGAGGCAGGATCAGGAGCAGGATCAGCAGCAGCAGGAGCGGCGGCGGCGGCACCATCTGTTGAAGCACAAGCGGGCTGGCAGCTCGGGAAGCTCAGGGAAGGCGGATTCAAAAGGGGAGGCCGGTGTGAGCGACAGTAGAATCAGCGATCGGAGGACTGGAGTGGCGATTTTCTTCCCCAGCAGCAGCAGCATGGGTGCCGACAGCAACCACAGCAGTAATACTTCAGGGGAGGCACGGCTGGGGAGGGCGCTGCCTGTATGGGCGGTAGAGGAGGTGATAGAAGGCGAGGTGGAAGAGGAGCGGGCGGAACGAGCGTTGCTGGGTGACTGGGGGCCTGGAGATGAGGGGATGACTGGCAGAGAGGCAGGAAGGGGAGGGGGAGGGGCCGGGGCTGGTGTGGGGGTGAGTGCAGGTGTGAGTGTAGGGAGTGCGGGATTGGATGTTCTAGAGGGGTTGAGGCCGAGGGCGAGTGGGACGTGCTGTGTAATGTACAGAGAGAATGAGCTGGGGCGCGTGCGGGGCGTGGTGTTACAGCACCAAGGGGTGGTCAATATGGTGCATTGCTTCAGACACAGATTGCCTGCCGAACACTCTGCTGCTGCTGCTGCCGCTGGTTCGAATCCTGCTCCTGCCACTGCTGCGCCTGCCACTGCGGCTACAGGTGCTACAGCTGCTACTGCTGCGGCGGCTGTAGCGGCTGCTACAGCAGCGGCGGCCGCTACAGCCGGAGCGGCCCCACCAGTGGATGTGAGGGCGCAGATCTCTCCTGCTCACCTGCCAGCTCACCTCTTTGAACTCTTCACTGCATTTGATGTCGGCGCTGCTGCTGCCATCTGCCCCTCGCCTCTCGAACCATTTTCTTCCAACGCTACAGCTTATAACGAATCTGCTTATAGCGGAGCAGGAGGAGGAGCAGGAGGAGGAGCAGGGGCTGTTACTTCTGCTGCTTCTGCTGCTCATGAGTCTGCTGTGGTGCATGCACATGCATGTGCGGAACTTTCCTCAGAAGCTTCCCTCCTGGGCGTCTCAGGGCTGCTCACGCTGCCAAGTGTCGCAATGTGGTTGGAGCCCCGGTCTCTCCCGAGCCTGCGTTGGGTGGCCTTCTCAGGCGAGCCCGTACCTAGAGCTCTGGTTTGGCGCTGGCTTCGGGCCGGACGTGTGGTGGTGGATATTTACGGAGCTCTGGAGTGTTCCCTAGCTGCCACGTGTGCAGTCTGGCGGCCTGGCGACAGGGTGGCGGATACGATTGGCCGGCCACTGCCAGGTGTCCACGTGTACATTCTCGGGCCGAACCTAGAGCTCGTCCCGATTGGCGCGGGCGGCGAGGTGTGCATTGCAGGGATACACGTGGCGAGAGGGTATTGGAAGCGGCACGGGGAGACGCGGCAGAGGTTCGTGAGCAACCCGTACGGCATGGGAGTGCACGACAGGAAGCTGTTCCGAACGGGGGACCGGGGGAGGTGGTTACCAGACGGGTGTGTGCAGTTTTTGGGGAGGTTAGAGCAGCAGGTGTATATCCGAGGGTTGAGTGTGGAGCCGGTGCAAATAGAGGAAGCGGGGAGTAAGGTGGATGGGGTGGCGCGCTGTGTGGTTGCGTTCAGGGCGCATGACCCGGGGAGACAGCCGTATCTCGCTGCCTATCTCCTGCTTAAACCTTCGCTGGCAGCGGCTGCTGCTGCTGTGGCGGCTGCAGGAGAGGCAGCGTTGGGGGGAGGGGCTGGGGGGGAAGCAGGGGCAGGGGCAGGGGTGGGGAAAGGGGCGGGGAAAGGCGGGGGGAAGGGGGTGCAGACCCCTGCTCAGCAGCTACTGGCGTCGCAGCAATTAGCAGCAGTGATTCCTAAGAAGGTCCGAGAGTATTTCAGATCCGCCCTCCCTCCTCACGCTGTTCCCTCAGCCATCCACGTGATTCACCACCTCCCCTGGACCAAGACAGGCAAGGCCGACCGCTCCCGCCTCCCTCTGCCGCCCGCGGACTCCTTTTTTGTCTCTTGTGACGAGGACGGGTCTGTGGGCGGCACGGGGTTGGGAGCGGGCGGCGGGGATCCGTTAGAGACGGCGGAGGAGCGGGCAGTTGCGGTGATTTTTGCCGAGGTGCTGCCCGGGGTCGAGGCGGGCAGGTTGCGAAGGAACTCAAACTTTTTTGAGCTGGGAGGGAATTTGTTTCTGGCAGCACAGGTGGTTGCGAGGCTGGTTGATTCTATCGAGAGTTCTGTTAAGGAGGGTGGGAGCAACGGGGGGGAAGGCGGCAGTGCTGCTGCTGCTGCTGCCGCTGCTGCTGCTGGTGGTGGTGGTAATGCTGGTAGGATGCTAGGAAAGGGAGGTGGAAGAGGGGAGGGGGGAGGGAAGGGAGGGAGGAGAGGGGGCAAAGGCAGCAGTGGGAGCGTGGGTGCTGGGGAAGCAGCAGCAGGTGGAGGGGCAGGAGGAGGGGGAGGGGGTGGAGCAAGGGCGGAGTTCTACAGAGCAGGGCTGACGCTGAGAGACATGTTCAGTGCGCCCACTGTCATGGGCCTTGCTGCTGCTCTGCACCGCGCTGCTACTGCCGCTGCCGCCGCCGCCGCTGTTTCTGCTGCTGCTGGTTCTGCTGGTGGTGGGGGATTGGGCTTGGATGAAGGTTTAGAGGATAGTGATGGGGAGGAGCAGGAGGAGGGGCAGGCAGGCTTGGGAAAGGGAGGGGAGAGACTGCTGCGCCTGGCACCTTTCCCTTCAGCCGCTGCTGCTGCTGGTGGTTCTGGCAGTGCTGCTGCTGTTCCTGCTGGTTCTGCAGCTGGTGGGGCAAGTGAGGGGGATGGGGTGGGCGGAGTGGTGGGGGTGCCATTGTCAGAGGCGCAGGTGCTGCTGTGGGTGGCGTACCATGCTCTACCGCACCCTCAGCTGCTGGACGAGTGCCATGTGTGGCGCCTGCAGGTGAGACGGGTGCCAGGTGAATGCCATATCCCTGTTTCCCTCCCTGCCTCCATCCATCTCCCGTTTCACAGGGCCCCGTCAACTCTCCTCGCCTTCAGCAGTCCCCCACAAGCACTTGTGATGCGCCATGCAGCGCTGCACTCTCGCTTCATTGTCAAAGGACCAGCAGCAAGCACAAGCCTAAGTCATCGTTTGAACCACCCTCCCCCCACCCCCCTCCCTCTCCCCCTCCCTCTCCCCCTCCCTCTCCCCCTCCCTCTCTTTCCCTGCCCCAATACAGGGTCCGGTGAACTTCCCGCGTCTGCAGCGGTCGCTGCAAGCACTGGTGGTGCGGCATGCAGCTCTGCGCTCTCGCTTCGTTGTCTGGCACACCAGCAAGCACAAGCCTAAGTCATTGCTTGTATTCCCTTTCCTGCCCAAACACACAGGGACCAGTCAACTTCCCTAGGCTGCAACGGTCTTTACAAGCACTGGTGGTGCGCCATGCGGCTCTGCGCTCTCGCTTCGTTGTCTGGCACACCAGCAAGCACAAGCAGTCCGGACGAGGTGGCGGTGGTGGCGGCGGCAGGGGCAGCAGCAGCAGCAGCAGCAGCAGCGGCAGCGGTTCGCTGCGGTTGAAAGCGGCTGTGATGGATGCTGCGATTAACTCTCTGAAGACTGAGCTCGCTGCTGGCGCTGGCGCTGCTGGGGCTGCTGGAAACGCCAAGGGCAGGAGGCAAGCAGGGAGAGGAGTAGCAGGAACAGGAGGAGCAGGAGGAGGGGGGAGAGCAGGAGCAGCAGGAGGAGGAGAAAGAGTGAGTGCAGCAACGGGTGGTGGGGAGAACAGGGGAGGAGGAGGAGGAGGGGGGTTTGTCTATCGGGCCCTAGCAGGGCTGTTTGCACCGAGCCTCTTTGCTCCCAGCTTCTGGAAGACAGCAGAGAGTGTGCTGGAGTGTGTAACGCAGATCCACACGCACCCCACCCATGGGCCTCCGTTTAGGCTCGCTTTGGTGGATATTTCCGGCGCGAAGTACTCCAAACGAAACAGGCTTATATCGGGGATAATCGCGGAGGCGAGACGGCCGTTTTGCCTGAGGACTCCGGAGGAGGCGGCGGTTCAGCTAATTGTGGGAGGGAATAGGGCGGATGGGGAAGGTGGAGGCAGTGGGGGTGGCATGGGGGGGATGGGAGTGAGTGGGGGAGGAGGGATGGGTGCAGCCGAAGTTGGGCTGTTAGCAGGAAGAGGAGGAGCAGCAGCAGCCAAAGCAGCAGCGGCGGCGGCGGCAGCAGCAGCAGCTGGCGGCGGCGGCGGCGGTAGCGGCAGCAAGGGCGGAGAAACAGCAACAGCAGCGGCAGCAGGGGCAGCGGGCGCTGTTGAAGGGGAGAGCTTGTTTCGAGCGACGCTGATCCGGCTGAGCGCCACGGAGCACTCACTCGTGCTCGTGTGGAACCCGCTCATCTTCGACGGCGTCTCCTCATCACTGTTCTACTCCGACCTCCTCCAGGTGCGCAATTTTTGCACCGAGAAAGAAAAGAAAGAAAGGAGAGAGAAATTAATAAAGTATATTATTATTATTATTATTATTGGTATTGTTATTATTGTTATTATTTAAAACAAATAATAAAAAAACAAACAAACAAACAAACAAACTTATCTTGACTGTGCCCCATCTTACTTCCACCTTTTCTGAAAAAAAAAGAAGCATTTCTCCTCTCGTTTTCTCCTCTCTTTTGCTCCAACCTCCTCCAGGTTTACAAGGCGGGCGGCTCGGCGGCCGACCTCCCCGCAGTCGCCAGCTACGCCGATTTCGCCCTGTGGGAAAAGGACAATTTGGCATGTGCCGGGCACAGGGAGTGGGACCTGGGGTTCTGGAAGCAGGCAGTGGGTGTACCTCCTCCAAAACTACCTCCCCAGCTGCAACCCAAGGTAGACGACAGCGGGAGCGAAGGAGGAGCGAGAACGGGCAGAGGAGGACGAGCAGCAGCAGGGGCAGGAGGAGCAGGAGGAGGAGGAGGAGGAAAAGGAGGAGGAGCAGCGGCGGCGGCGGCTGCGGCGGTGGCGGCAGGGGGATTGGCGTTAGCGCTACGGAAAGGGCATGTAGAGGTGCTGATAGCAGCAAGCACGAGGAGGCGGCTTGAAACCTACGCCTTTCACCGCGGTGCCACGCTCTCCATGGCCTTCCAAACCGTTCTGCACGCCCTGCTACACCTCTGGACCCACCAGCACTCCGTCGCGGTCGCCGTCCCCGTCGCTAGGAGACAAATCCTGCCGCTCCAGTCGGTGATCGGGCGGTTCTCGGATTTGATTCCCGTGGTGACGGATATGCGGAAGCATCTGAGCCCTCCGTTGGTGGTGGCTGGACGGCTGAGATCGTTCACTTCGTCGATCAGTCGGGCGTCATCGTGTGTGTCGTCTCGATGCGTCTCCCCTTCTACTTCCCGCCAGTATTCCGCGCTCTCCCCTCGCCTCTCTGCCTCCACTCCTGCTGCTGCTGCTGCTGCTGGAGGCGCTGTTGGGCCAGGTTCGGGCTTCCGACCCTCCAGCCACGGAGGCCGGAGCTCCGGAAAGGGAGAGGGGGATAGGCCGGGGTCGGCAGGGGGGAGGGGAGCGGGAGGGTACTGCAGTAGTGGGGACGACAGGGAAGATGGGGCAGCGTCGACAGCTGATAGAATAGGTGCTGCTGCTGGTGGTGCCGCTAGTTGCTTACGCCCTGGGATGACTGGGAGGAAGGGGGATGGAAGGAGAGGGGGAGGAGGATCAGGAGGAGGGGGAGGGGGTGGGCCTGGTGGGGGAGCAGGGCGAAAGCTGTGTCTGCCCAGTGAGGTGCATGCTATCGGTGATGCTGACTCCCCTCCCGTTCCCTCCCCTCGCTCCTCCCCTGCTCCTGCTGTAGCTGCTGGGGGTGCTGTGGGTTGTGCAGTTGGTGCTCCTGCTGATGCTGCTGCTGCTTTGAGGCAAATCGCGGCTGCTGATGCTGATGGTGTGAAGCAGGGGCAGCAGGGGCAGCAGGGGCAGCAGGGGCAGGAGTTTGTTCAGGGGAGTGGGGGTATGGGGGTTGGCACTGACGTGCTTTCACTTGCTGCGGCTGCTGTTGCCGCAGGGAAGGGGGGGAGGTGTGGGGAGGGGAGCCGGCCTGGTGGAGGGAGTGGAGGGAGTGGGGGGAGTGGGTTGGTGCAAGGGAAGCAGGCGGGAGGGGTGAAGGGGAATGGGGCGGATGGGGAAGGAGGAGGGAAGGGAGGGTTCATGGGAGGAGGAAAGGGAGGGGGGGAGATGTGCAACGACCAGTGGAGGTCTGAGGGTGTTTCCTTTGAGCAGCTGTTATTCCAGGTACGTAGCTCACTCCCTCCCTCAATGCACCGACGTTGGAAGTCTATAAAAGCCATCTCTCCCTCTTACACGCTGCTGTGCCAGTCCATGCCTGCTCGCCTCCGCACTGCATCCCACCGCTCCCAACCCCTTTCAACTCCCCATCTGCCCTCGCATCCTTTACCCTCATACACCCTGGCACCGGATCTCATCCTAAACCCTAAACCCGAAACCCTGTAGAGGACTCCGTAGTGGGGGATCTAGACCCTGTACCCCTTCACGTGTAATGAGGTTATTTTTTAGACGGCTCAAAAAGCACCGACCCTCCCCCACGCCTGCTCCCAGTAGAGGACTCCCTAGTGGGGGATCTAGACCCTGTACTGTACCCCTTCACCATCTTATCTTCATTCTCCTGTTCTCCCTCTCCCAAACCTTTCCCACTCCTTCCCCTCCCCTCGTCCTGACCTCCTCCGCAGGTTCGAGAGCACACACTGCAGGCGCTGCAGCACCAGTCCATCTCCCTATTGATTGAACGCCCTTCTCTTCCATTCTCCTGTCCCCTCAAACCCCCCACCCCACACACTCCCACCCACCAGGTGCGAGAGCACACCCTGCAGGCGCTGCAGCACCAGTCCATCTCTCTCCGTCTGCTCGCCTCCGCACTGCATCCCACCGCTCCGGACCCCTTCGCCTCCCCCTTTGCCCTCGCGTCCTTCGCCCTCACACACCCCGGCACCGATTCCCCACCGAACTTGCTCCCCCTAGAAGACTCCCTAGTGGGGGACCTAGACCTAGAAGCCTCTTCTGCTGCTGCTGGATTTGCTGCTGGGTTTGGTGCCGCTGGTGCTGCTGGTGCTTTGGGTGGTGCTGCTGGTGGTCTTAGTGGTGTGGGTGGGGTGGGTGGAGGGGCGGAGTTTGGAGGGAGTGTGGGCGGCGGTGGTTGGGGCGGCGAAGTGGCGTTATTTCCCTTGGGATTGTCCCTGCGGCCACTGAGAGACGGGCGGCTGGCCGGGCGGCTGACTTACCAGGTAATTGATGTGGGGTATGCTAGGTAACAGTCCGTTATTGTCTAGGCTATCTGGCAAGAGGCAGGGCGCAGAGGGGACTTTTGAGGTGCCTCAAAAATTGATGTGGGGTATGCTGGGTAACAGTCTGTTGTTATGTAGGGTATCTGGCAAGAGGCACGGCGCAGAGGGGTCACAAGATGGACATGTTCTTCTCTCCTGCCCTTCTGTCCCTCCGCTCCCTCCCCTTACTCCACCCACCCACCCACCCATCCACCCACCCGCCCACCCCGCCCACCCCGCCCACCCCGCCCACCCTGCCCACCCCGCCATCCCAGGTGGATGCAGTGCCTAGAAGTATCGCAGAGGTGCTAGCGAGGCAGATAGAGCGCGGTTCACACATGCTCCTCTCCCACCCTCGCCTTACACCCACCCACCTGCCCACCCTCCCATCCCCCCAGGTGGATGCAGTGCCTAGAAGCATGGCAGAGGTGCTAGCGAGGCAGATAGAGCGGCTGGCAGAGGCAGCAGTGGAGTCACCTCGACCCTTGCTGCTGGATGAAGCCACTGCCAGAGCGCTCAAGCAGGCGCGGAGGCGAGGGGGCGGGGTGGATGGGGGGAAAGGGAGTGGCGGAGGGGGTGGGGGTGGGGGGATGGTGGGGCCGATAGGGTGCATGCCGTTGTGTATAGGCCGCGATAGGCGGGTGCTAGTGAGGCAGGGGTCATCGGATTCGGATGAGTCTGATGTGAGCGTTTGAGGGGTGTGGGCGTTTGAGGGGTGTGGTGTGTGTGGGTTGTTGGTTGACTGAGGTGGGGGAGGGGGCATGGTGGGGGCGATTGGATGCATGCCGTTGTGTATAGGGTGGGATAGACGGGTGTTAGTGAGGCAGGGGACGTCGGATTCGGATGAGTCTGATGTGAGCGTTTGATGGGTGAGGTGGCCGATGGGTAGTGTGTGTGTTGCTGGTTGGGTTTTGTGTTGGTGTTGACTGGGGTTGGTGAGAGTTTTTTCGTTACCAGGGGTGTTTTGTTGGGGATGGGTGGGATGGGATGGGATGGGAGGGGAGGGTGGGGTGGGGTGGGGTGGGGTGGGGTGGGGTGGGGTGGGGTGGGATGGGATGGGATGGAGCACGGTGACAGGCAGTGCAACACATGGAAGGGGACACATTAACAGGTGAATGGGCAAGCAAGTTAAGCAAGCAAGGGGACACACTAACACACATTGCAGCAGAGGACTTGCAACAGCACATCTGATATGACGTGACCCACCTACCTAGCAGTGGGGTGGACGGTTACACAAGCAAGGGACTGGCACAAGCAAGGTCTGGCCTATTGTGCTCCAAGGCTCCCAGCAGCTACAGTACCATATACCTTCTTGATTTGATTCTATTGCTGCTAACTTTAGGCAAAAACTGTACAGCAGGTCCTACTCTGACTGTTGAGACTAGCACGTTACAAGACTGCAATAATCGCAATCTTTTTGCCTCTATTGAATACACCAACAATGGTAGTTACGGTAGTTGGTTGGTCCTGTATGCATCAGTATAATCAGAGAAATAGGTGGTTGTCTGCTTGGCTTGTTTCTTGGTCTTTACTTCACCGTAGTCATGCCTATGACCATTCCACTTCATATGGAGCAGCTGATCTCAATGTGTATTGTGTTTCTCAGCACATCATGAAACTTGACTTCTTTCAGAAAGTGTGCTTGTACAGAGTACTACCACATTGTGTTGTCATCTGTCAAATGTAATTCTATGCTTGTAGGCTACAGTGAGTAGCACAATAGGGAGTACAGTTGTTAGGGTTGCATATTTGTACTCTCACACTTTCTAGTTTCAAACATTCCGTTGCATTCCTATTCTGAGATGGTATCACGAGTAGGTTAGATCCTCGTTCGTTTTTAGCTAGCCTCCGCGCCCTACGCGCCCTCCGTGCTCTCGCGCCCTCCGCGCCCTCCGCGCCCTCCGCGCCCTCCGCGCCCTCCTCGCGCCTAGCCCGCGCCCTCCCGCGCTGTCCAGCCTGTCGCGCGCCCTCCTTAGACCTCCGCGCGCCCTCCCCCACCGTTGCGCGCCCTCCAAAACCGTCGTGCGCCCTCCTTAGACCGTCGCGCGCCCTCCTCAACCGTCGCGCGCCCTCCTCTACCGTCGCGCGCCCTCCTTAGACCGTCGCGTGCCCTCCCTCCGCCTGTCGCGCGCCCTCTTCCGTCAACGCTTCCCGCACACCAGCGTGCGCTTACCGCACACCTGCGTGCACTTACCGCACACCTGCGTGCGCTTACCGCACACCTGCGTGCACTTACCGCATCACTCTGTGTGCGCTTCCCGCACACCTGCGTGCGCTTCCCGCACACCCGCGTGCACTTACCACACACCTGCGTGCACTCACCGCACACCTGCGTGCGCTTACCGCACACCTGCGTACACTTACCGCATCACTCTGTGCGCTTACTGCATCTCTCTCCCCTTCACCTGTGCACCGGTCCCACGCCATTCCTACTGCACTTGGCTCCCGGCTCAGCGGCTGGCAGCCGCTCTTCCCTCCGGTAGCGCCGCCTAGGTTCGGTTAGGGCCCCGCCCCACGACTATTTTCTCGCCGACTGTCTCTCGTCGGTTTCCCCGCTGGCGTCCCTAGCCCTCCGTAGTTTTCCTCCTCGTTCTTAGCTCCGCCTCCGCCGTGCTCCAGCCGCCTCTAGCATGGGCTCTGCTATGGAGGCCCGTCGCCTCCGCTTCGATGCTGAGGGACGCCCGATCGAGTTCGGTACCTGGCAGCGCCAGACCACACGTTTCCTCACCAGCCAGCGTCAGGACGGCGCCACTCTGTGGGCCCACGCGTCGGGTGCTCTCGCGGCACCCCCATCCCTCGCCGCCCTGCCGACCGCCCCGGAGTCGACTCCTACGGCCCAGGCGGACTACGACCGTCGGGTCCTGGCTCGGGACGTGTGGCTCTCTCGTGACGCGGCCGCCGCCCTCACGCTATCGGAGCTTCTCCCCCCGACTGAGGCCGCTCACTTTGACCAGGTGGAGACAGCCAAGGGGGTTTGGGATGCTATTGTGGCTCGCTATTCCACCCCCTCCTCCGCCTCCCTCAGTCGCCTCCTCATGCCGTTCGTGTTTCCCGACCTAGGCTCGTTTGCGACTGTTTCCGACCTAGTGACTCACCTCCGCTCGCTTGACGCCGGTTTTCGTTCGGCCTGTACCGACGCACAGCTCCTTGTTGCTCCCCCCCCCATGTGGCTCACTGTGCACTGGTTAGTCACCCGCCTCCCTGACCGCCTTGCCACTGCCCGCGACGCGCTTCTTCAGAAGCACCCCACTGAACTCACTATAGACCTCCTTCAGACTGCTCTCGGGACCATCGAGAGTAGCCTCCTCACCGTTGCCTCCGCCACTGATGCGGTGGCCCCCCGTCTCTTTGCGGGGTGTGCCGCCCCTCAGCTTCCCACTTTCACCGCTACCCGCGCTTCTGCTGCTGTGTCGGTCTCTGAGGACACCGCTGCCGTTTCTGCCGCAGACTGGCAGAAACGGGGCAAGAGTGGCAAGAAGGGCGGGAAGGGGGGAGGTGGGGGCGGAGGAGGTGGCGGTGGAGGGGGCGGTGGAGGTGGGAGCGGCGGTGGTGGTGGAGGCGGCGGCGGCGGCGGCGGCGGTGGTGCACCAGGGGGAGGGGGCCTTGGAGGAGGCGCAGGACAGACAGGTCCACCCACAGGTAGCGGCCCGACCGGTGGGGGTGCTGCCCCCCAGCAGCAGCAGCCACAGCAGCAGCAGCAGCAGGGACAGCAGCAGCAGCAGGCACCGCAGCAGTTCCAGCAGTGGGGGCCCCCGCTGCAGTGGGGTCCGCAGCAGCACTGGGGTCCCCCGCCGCAGTGGGGTCCGGGAGGCCCTGGGAGCACCAGCCGCAGCAGCAGCTCTTCCAACTGGGCCCCTCGCCCCCCTCGCCGTGACGCTGGCCCCTGCACCCACTAGTGCCTCACCGGGCCGGGCAGCCCCTGTCTCTGTGGTCGCGACGACCACTCTGCCGCGCGGTGCTTCCGCCGCCTCGACGACCTCTACCGGGCTCGTTGGGGCCCCCTGGCGGTCACGCCTCGCTGGTCTCGTCTGTTAACCCGTAAGATTGATGTCTTTGATTTGTCCATGGACGATGCGCGTCAGCATGCTTTGTATGTTGATGCTGACTTTAGTGCTGAGGGATCTGTGTGCTCGCGTGTTCGTAGTTTAGCCTGCTTGCCTCCTGCTAGTGTAGCCTTGTGTCTGTCTAGCTTAGGTGCTTGTGTTGCTGCTCTAGGTGCTTGTGTAGCGACTGGGTCAGGTGACCCTCCGGCTGAGGCCTCTTTGTCGTTCACGCTGGACTCGGGCGCGTCTCAGTGCTTCTTCCGCGACCACACGACCCTTACGCCACTCCTCACTCCTGTGTCAGTGGCTCTGGCTGATCCTACCTCTGGACCAGCCGTTGCGCGTAGCTCCACCACCCTCCCGTGCCCTGTGGTCCCCTCTGGTGTCCTGCGCGGCCTCCACATCCCCTCGTTCACTCGGAACTTGGTGGGTGTTGGATACCTCCAGGACAGGGGGATCACGGTTACCTTCGTGGGGGTGGGCGGACTGCAGTCTGTACAGACGCTACCACAGGTGCTGTTCTTGTCAACATATATTTTATATGTGTTGTTTAGGTTAGTCTAGGTGTTACGTTTCTACTTACTTGCATGATTAGGGTTTGCTATATCTAGGGTTGTACTTCACATTTTCTATCAATTCATTCTTATCGTAACATGGTATAGAGCTAGGTTTCCCTTAGGCGATTTTTCCCCTAGGCGATTTTTTCCCTTAGGCGAAATTTCTCTCGATAGTCTATGGGCCCACCACCCGCGCGCCTCGTAGCGACCCATAGCCCGAAGCGCCCTGCCCCGTAGAGCCCGAGTAGGTCGCGCCCCCCCGTCGACATCGCGCGTCACCCGTTTCTGCCCTGCGCCCCACCCGTTTTTGCCGTGCGTCACTCGTTTTCTGCCCCGCGCCCCACTCGTTTTACCCCGCGCGTTTCCCCCCAGCCCTCTAGCGCGCAGC